TAGATACGCTAAACAGTAAAACTTATGCAAGAACCGATAGGAAAGCAAATATGGATACGATAAACCAGCACGCGGCAGTTTTCACCAACCCTTCCTTGAAGTGTCAAATTTGACAATGAACCCCTCCCATGTGCAGCTCAGTGGTCCTGTTGGGGCGATAAGTTCTACATCTGTGAACATACCCTCAAAGCATGTCAAGTCTCCATGACTATTTATCATATCACAACCTGCATAGGCATTTGCATTTCAATATCCCCTGCTTTTTTGAGGAGTATATTATCAGTTCACGCAAAGAAAAAAAATGACCCGACATCTTAAAAGGGTTACGTGTCCGGATATGCGATTTTGACGTTCACGTCGAAAGGTACTCAATACTTTGAACTGAAATTTTGCGACAAGGTAAATACCTATATTTTGGCTCTTATCTAGTGACAATTAATTCCTTTTATAAATTGTCAGATGTCCTCTCACAGTCTCAGATAACAACGTTTCATCTTCGTAGGAATTATCAGTGAGCAGAAATTCGCCCGTGTATCTGTTATCGCCGCCCATTACTTCAGTCAGTTATATATAGAAGGATAACTCGTGTTTTCCTTTTGCCTTCGTTAATTCCGTTGCTTGAAATCTTCCTTGCGCATCTATCGTATATGGAAGCCTACAACTACCATTCATTATTTCTACTTTTCGCCTCTTAAGAACACAAAAGTCGAAAAGTAGAAGTTACGACAAAATGTGAGGCGACAAGACGGTATACAAGCCAAAATCAACTCGAAAATAGGAAATTAAGAAATAACACACCGCGATAATAGCGCCCCCCGTTTTTTTCTTAATTTCTACTTTTCGACTTGCATTTTGGCTTGTATACCGTCTTGTCGACTTTCGACATTTTTGTATTTATTGATGTCAGTAAGAAGGCGCCAACACGCTATACAAGCCAAAATGTAACTCGAAAAGTAGAAATTAGGAAATTAACACACTGCGCTATTAGCGACCTATGATCTGTCGTACTGTAGTAGTAGTTCTTGGTGTTTAACGTCTGCTTCCACATAAGTGATATCGCAGACAAGTGTCGTACTGTCGACTTTTCTACTTTTCGCCTAGGAAGTTGTTGTAGTCTCTGCCTTCCAGGCCACATTTGAATACGCGCAATTCCCGTTAACAAAAATGTCTGTATGCGCGTATGCGTGTTAAAATCATATTTGGAACGTGTCTAATGTGGTAATGGCTGACACCAATATTGTCCTTTAAGGGGCATACAAGGTCTGACTATTGATTTTATTCGTGCAAACCAGTGAGGTGTTACATAGAAATAGAAGATGTTAGTACAACCGTCTTAATGCTATTTTCCCACGTTGACGATTCGCACCCGGAAAACGCGTTTGCGACCGTCAAAGTTTCCAATTATTCTTTTGTAGGGTGTGGGAGGTTGGGAGTGGGGGGTACACGGTAGGCTCCGCTCCTTGACCTCTAACAGACAACCGGCACCGGTTCTTCAGGTTGTTATTAGATGATTAACTTGTGCGTTCTGCATCATAAGTTCTGTCATTGAGTCAACTGGCGTGGTTTCGATTCCCCGGTTGTAGGTAACAAGGTGTAGGGTCGTCTGTCCAACCTCGTGGGTATTATCCGGATCCTCCGATTTCCCCCCAGTGCTAAAGACCCCTACGCGCAAGCGAATTATTGAAATAAAATTGAACCATGCGTTAGTCCCGAAATGACCTAGATTGTGTCGCGTGGACGTACCCCCCCCCCCCCCCGTCTCCCTTTCTTTATGATAAACCCTCTCTCTCTTTCTTATTTAAAGACATGTCTTCTATTCACTGAATCCATTAATGAATAGTCGCTTCGTTTTTCTCTGTTTCTTATATCTGTGAATATAATAATTTTCATTGATTGATTTTTGTTTGTTTTAATATTATTATCTGACACTTTGGTTATCACTATTGGTCAGTAATGGTTCTTTTGTTGTTTTGGTTAACTACGCGGTATAGTCGGACGTGTTTAGTCATCTATGGCAAGGTTTTGGGGAATTTGTGTGGAACTTTTGACCACCAGATATTAGATTTCTCAAAATAAATACATTCCACAAGATTTGGGGTCTGTGGTGTATTTTGCCACAAGAGTTCCACAAGAGTTCCACAAGATATTGGACTTTTTCAAAACATTCTTCCGAGCGCTCCCTATATACCTGTGTGGTACTACATTCCACAAAATTTCGACTTCGAATAATTCTGATAGAATGTATTAAGCCTGTGGTGTTTTTTATCACTAGAGTTACACAAGGAATTGGACATAAAAAAAAATCCATATTTTCAGAAGTTTCTTCCGAGACCTCCCTATGTGCCTGTTTGGTACCACATTCCACAAGAAAAAACACCACAGACACTTGCTTTGAGTAGTTTGTATTTTGAATGACATATTATAGAAAAAGCACCGAGCAATTAATAGTAGCTTAAAGAATTGGGTTCAATTAAATGAATGAATGAATGAACGAACGTAGAAAATAAACACAGACTAAAGAGAAATAAATATTTTATATTTAAAATACAAACTTTCTCATATTATCAGCACATTTCATTTTGTTGTGTCATTTCCGGTATTTCTAACTTTCACAGCAGACAAATACGAGTCCCGATCATAAAAGTGGAAATTACCCTATATTTGGCATAAGACACGCCGGTTCAACAGCCAAAGTGTCTTACTATTCATTTGGCCACAGATCACTAAACATTTGCCCATTGACTTTAATGTTAATTCTCGTCTATTAGACCGGCTCTAGCTTTTTCCCAAATTTTCGTTGGGTAGAACGCTTTCTACCACAGATGGAGCAACATGTGGCAACCTTTAGCCCAAAAGCACGTATGAGGTTCACCATGGAAAACTTGAGATACACAAGCTGGAAGTAGAGACAAGAAAACATGCAATTTCGGACCCTACATTTCAACCTAACCAACCTCTCAACTCTTGTATCCTTCCGCCTGAAAATCATGAATATTCACCAAAACCTGGTAGAAAATGTATTTTCAAACCCTTTTCGTCGATTCTAAACCATAAAGTCAACAAAAATTGCCATGCAAAAGGGGGAAAAGGGAAAGGGAGAGAAAGATTAAAAATAACTTTTGCCCTACATTCGTGGGTGACAGCGTAAAAATATTTGGTGAGCTGTTTCCTATTTAGGGGTGAAACTTCAGGTATCACCAAAAAGTCTTTTTTATATGCTTCCCATATGTTCTGGTAACATACCGGTGAAAGGAAATCAAAATCAAAGAATAACTGCAAAAATGATGGCCCTTTAAGTATACATGCCGCTTTATGTACAGTAGTGCATCTCAGATCCATGGGCCTTTTGTGCTAAAATTTAAATATATTTCTTATTAAAGGCAGTATTTGAGTTCTGTGAAAAAATTAGACAAGTTACAAACAAATTACACAGAAAACACTCATAAGCTGGATTTCTTTTCAAAAATATAATTTTTTACTGCCATATCATGAAAAATGTACAAAATTTACATGTAGCATCTTTAAAAAAAACCCAATTATTTTCCACTTTTTAGATAGCCAGACCGAAAAGGGATATATTTGTAGAAACCCTGGCAAATATACAAACAGAAAAATCACAAATTAGCTGCATTGATTGTAATATTAGAGATCTATACTTAAACATGTATCCCCACCCCCCTAAATATGTCACTGACTGAATGAATCTAATCTTTGGTTGCAGAAGTAACATCATCAAAGCAATCTGTCTAATAGCTATGTTTTACCATCCCTGGCTAACATATGTACATATAAACTAAAATATGTGCAATAAATATGAATTATGGTTAAAAATAGGCCTTGATGAAAGAAAAAACTGCCATATTTGCTCTATGACCACCCCTCTCTAACAAAAGGGTCACAGAATACACAATTTTCACAAATTTGGGAAAATTGCAAGGTTTTCAACATCTCAAGGCTCAGAGGCACCATACAAATCTTTATTGCAATTCTTGTGCTGAAGCAAGATGTCTGGACCTTTACATCAATTGCCTGAAAAAATCATTTCCAAAAAGTAATTATGACAGAGTTGACAAGATGAAGGAGGCCTGCAAAGGAGCAATATTAACATTTAACTGTTCTATAAGTAACATAAATGCAACAATCACCACAAATCCTAGACTTTGATAAGAAAATATTGAACATTAAGCTGACATTTACACATCTACACCAGTTTTATATTAGGGTGTGGTCTCATTGGCCTGACATGTCTCTGGGTTCTAAGTTTGACTTTAAACAAAAAGGCTTAGAACTTTTTGAAATGTACAAAATAGCTATTTATTAGTGAAAAACAACATTCCTAGGTGTAATTCAACCACAAATTCCAATTACTATCATTTTATTGTCAACACAGGTGCAATTAAATCTCTCAAAACACATTAATAAAAAAGGGTGGGTGGGGCATTTATAGCCTGTCCTAAGGAAACGGTGGAGTTAAAAATGGCTAAAAAGACTAGAATATTGATTTCTACGTGAAGGAAATGCAAGAATTTAATGTTACAAAGAAGAAAAAAATGTTTGTTCTGGGTAAAACAGTAGCAAAATTGAGCCAACCCCTGTTTTGAACATTTTGTACAAACCCATCTGCTGTACATTATTAACTCAGTTTTACCAATTTTCAATTTTCTGTAGGAAAGCTGGGGCTATTTCTAAACCTGATAAACTTGTAAATCCTATCTAAGTTATATTAGCAATGAAAATCAGATGCATTTTAGACATTTTGACTCATTTGAGTAGTCATGAAAGGATTGATTTTACATTGAAATGTGGGGAATCCAAAGGTTTTCTGTGAATATTCCTGATTTTTAGACAAAATTTGGTGAAATTACAATACTGTTCACTGTATCTGTGCTTTCTGAGGTTGAATAAGCCAAAATTGGGCATTAAAATATTTTTCTTACTATTAGAAATTAAATAAAAACTGAAAATTGAGAAATTTGCAGTAAAATCACAATTTTTCTCCAAATTTTTTTTTTTTTTTTTAAATTTAACTTTTTTTTAGTTTTTCAGTAGTCAAATTATTTTATTCATATTTTCTGAGAGTTTAATCTTCATATTTTCAAAACTAAGGCATATCAGTCTCGGCCACAGATCACTAAACATTTGCCCATTGACTTTAATGTTAATTCTCGTCTATTAGACCGGCTCTAACTTTTTCCCAAATTTTCGTTGGGTAGAACGCTTTCTACCACAGATGGAGCAACATGTGGCAACCTCTTGCCCAAAAGCACGTATGAGGTTCACCATGGAAAACTTGAGATACACAAGCTGGAAGTAGAGACAAGAAAACATGCAATTTCGGACCCTACATTTTAACCTAACCAACCTCTCAACTCTTGTATCCTTCCGCCTCAAAATCATGAATATTCACCAAAACCTGGTAGAAAATGTATTTTCAAACCCTTTTCTTCGATTCTACACCAAAAAGTCAACAAAAATCGCCATGCAAAAGGGGGAAAAAGGGAAAGGGTGAGCAAAACTAAAAATAACTTTTGCCCTACATTCGTGGGTGACGGCGTAGAAATATTTGGTGAGCTGTGTCCATTTACAGCATTTAATAACGAAAGTAAAAATAGTATATTCCGGCTGTCAAGCAAACACATCCAGCGCATTGAAGAAACAAAGTTGCTTTATGTGTGGTCCCCGTTGAACACCGTTTCTTGTGTAATTTTTCGCTCGCTCCCGTAATCGCAAATCCTTCACATGATCAAACTGTTCATCCTCCACCAGACTTGGTTGTCCCTCCCTCTCTTTCACAGCCTGCAGGTACATTTGTTGGGTGTAATATTGACCATTGTTAATCTGTATGGTTTGTTTGACCAACTTCATTATAGCTTTAAGTTCTGGTCCGGGAACTCGGTTGTTAATTGCTGCAGTCCGCCCGCCTGCTTCCCGGATGAGATCTTTCAGTTCTGACGGACTGTCCTCGAGATGCTGGTCAATTGTTGAACCATCATAATCCAGTGAATCTTTACCGGTGAAAATAAATACTGTGTACTTCAGGAAATCCTGCCCAAACCAATATTTGAGATGTTTGATTGTGTCCATCTCTTCCTGTGTAAATCTATCAATCTTCAAGACAAGCAGGAATATGTGGGGACCTGGGTATAAAAGCTCTATACATCGTGTAAGTTCTTCAAATGTCTCCGTGGTCGAAGTTGTAGTGCCCGCAATACCTGGTGTGTCAACAACAATTAGGTTGGTTCCATCTTTAAGTTGGGTAGATCCATGACGACATCTTGGTTTCAATGTATTAGTGCTCTGTAGCGAGGTGGATTTAAACTCTCTTCTCCCAAGCAAATTGTTTCCCAGCGAACTTTTGCCAGAACCATTCTTGCCAACTAATACTAGTCTTATATCTGAAGGGTAAAAATAAAATTACAAGACTCTTAACACGATCTGAATATGTGATAATGAAAGGAGAAGGGGAGATAAAAGGTCATTTCGGGACTAACATACGGTTCAATTGTATTTCAATAATTCTCTTACGCGCAGGGGTCTTTAGGGTGATTTTTTGTGTTTGTTGGAAATGTACGTCTACAGATAACGTCGGTGTTGAGATATGAATTCGGCTTTTTAGTAAACTTTAAAATATTGCCATATATAACATTTATATTGAGTTAAAGTGTCCAATAAATTTGGTTCACTTGTCATTAGCTCGGTCTTCTATATTATTTGAAAGGTAAACCTACAAATTCCTGCCATGGGCGTCGTTATGAACATGATTGCTCTATGTTCTTTCCTATAATGTTGCTACGATATGTGATGGCTAAGGTATTGTGTTCTTGGTGCCCAATCACCAGGGCCTCACTTTAGTGAAGGTATGTGAACGAACACTTAACATGCAGATTTCTTCTGTTGAAGAAATCTTTCATATCGGCGAGTCTACTGAGTGTCAACATCAATGGTAAAGATACTGTTCTGCCCCGACAAGAGCTAATGAAGACAGGCATTCGCAATATTTATGCAGTGTGCTATGAGGGAATTTTCCACAGACAGCTTCGCTATGGCTTACTCTTTTTCCGAATTCAAACTGCCAAGGGATCTTTTACGTGCATTTGTCGTCCCATCCGAACGAATATACGTTGTCCCTTGCATGCCCTCTGCCCTGACAAGTAAAGGTAGAACCACAACGGAAAATCTCTATGAACTATCTCGGCCAAAGCATGGATCGAACACACATATACTTAGGATAAATAAACTAATATAACAACAATCACGCCGATAAAAATCATTCGTATTTATTTTCTTCTTTTTAAAATTCGTTTTTTGTTCTTAAAAATAGCATAAATTATCATGCATAAATTGTTAACTTTTATTGAAGTGCGTTTTCCATTTTTCAATGTTATAATCTATAGTTTTGCTTCTAGACATACATATTTTTTATAAATTCTATAAGTTTTTATAATTCTATATGGGTGGCTAGGTGTTTAAGACATCGGATGTGATGTTCGATCCCTGCATTGGCCGAGAAAGTTCATCCAGATTTTTGTAAATCTATATACTTTATATAAATCCTATATATTTTTGTAATTCTATAAATTGTTAATTAATCCGATATGTTTTTTTTTTATATATCCTAAATATTTGTGGGTGTTTAAGTGTGGAAAATACATCGAGGGACAATTTGGCGTATTGTTTATCCGCACATTCTGCTCATGGAATAATTTGGTGTAATCGTCATCTAAATATTTTGCTTCGTATTGTTTTCAGATGCGAAAGAGAAATCATTTACCTTATCACGGATATATAACCGAATTAATAACATATATATATATAGAGAGAGAAATGGGGTTTAACGTCCACTCGACACAAACTAGGTCATTTCGGGACTAACACATGGTTCAATTTTATTTCAATAATTCGCTTGCGCGTAGGGGTCTTTAGCAGTGGGAGGAAATAGGAGGACCCAGAGAAAACCCACGAGGTTCGACAGGCGACCCTACTCCTTGTCACGTACAACCGGGGATTCGAAACCAAATAACATATATACACCATGAATATACAGTTATGTGTCGTAGAAACCCACTAGATAAATATGTTGAATATCTAGTGTACGAGGCGATATTGACTTTGTATATGTAATTTAACACAATCATAACGTGTACAGTAAAATCTTACCTGAATTCATAGCGAGTTATTGTCTATTGGTAGCGTAGAACACTTAGTACGTTGTTCTCCAACCATCACCTTATTCCTAGAATTATGAAGATTCTATTTCTATACATATCTTGCATTAAATACACTTACTTATAACCCCGCCTATAAATACCTTCCATTGGCTATTACCGGTAAGTATCTTTAGTATCTATGAAAGGTGGCACAGTCGATTAAAGGGAAGCTTGTAAACAATTTCATTTTGTGTAACCATTTCTCTGAATAAATATACTGTATAAAGTAGATACGCTTTTATTAATCTTTCTAAATTATCTCATTCCCCCGTCGGCAGCAGGTAGCAACTAATAAACACAGCAAACTATCAAATTGGCAACATCTTTATTAAACCAAGTGACACAATCTTGGTGTTTATTTCGACTCTATCAGGACATGAAGAAACAAACTTCGGCCATGTGTAAAAGTATTAATTTTCAAATTCATAATATTAGAAAAATTAGATTAATCATTGCGTGTAACACCTCTAAAATCCTGGTAAACACTATGGTTACACCACGACTCAACTGATGTAATTCATTTTATAAAATCTACCAGACAATAAAATTAACCAATTTCATAAACTTAAAATAAAATAAATAAATAAAACAGCCCGGATAATAACCAAGACTAAACCAAATGCTTTTATGACACCAATATCGACACATCAATTTCAAAATATTGTCTATTACATATATTGCTCTATATAACGATTGTGCACCTCAGTACCTTAGAGGGGCCTTCTCAATATTAATGAACCTACCAAAACCCCTCGATAACAATCGCGCAACCTCTTAATTAAGCCTTTTTCAAATACTAACTCGCATTCGGTGGTCCAAATGTATCGAATTCGGTATGAAAAGAAACCAAAGGTTCAAATTGTATTGAAGCTTTTCAAAAGTATCCCAAAAGGAACTTTTTAATCAAATATACAACTGATTGAATACAGTTTTAGCTGCGTTTGCGTCAGACCTTTACAACCTGTACTCATGTTCTCTGTGATTTTAACGATTATGTCTGTTTATGATTTGATGTTTTGTGATTGTTGTAATTTTATTTTTATTTGTACTTATGTAACGTACCCGCCAATACTGATACCCCGACTACAAAGTCTAACCTACTATACCTATTCAATAACTATTATTTCTCCAATTCAGAAATATATACACATTTCTTTTTTAGTGTCACGACAGACGATGGCTACTAGCGACATTAAAGGTAAGTTGGCTAATAGTATTCAAAAATATTAGTGCAACCGTAAAGCTGCTTTACTTTATTTCATGGTAAACGACGAATCGATTAAAGGTATACCGACACAAACCGATTTCAATACTGGGTTAATAATAGTATATATATATATGTCTTCCAACCAGGCGATCTCCCATTCAGACCAATAATAGCCGGTTGCCGGGCCGTGCTGCCGTACTAACAGACTATCAAATCTCATCGATATCTTACTTAAAGGGGCATTATGTAAAATTTAAGGACAATATTGGTGTCAATCATTATCACATATGTGGTAGAACTGGTTAACCCGTTCCAAATATACTTTTATCACAGAGACCATTGCTACGATAGATGGATAATGAAGGTTTCAACAAACAAATTTCTATTTTTCTCGTGTTCTCTAATTACCTAGTGACATTCATAATGTGGACGTATTATGCCGTCGCCCCTGTCTGTGTGTGTGTGATGGTGTGTGTTTGTGTGGGTCGCCTACAGGGCGCAATTCTTTCTGGATTTTCTTCAAACTTTGTATACTTATTCCGTATACCCTAAGGATGGCCCCTATTGTTTTTGGTGCATGCCACGCCCATTTATTGTATTTGTTTGTTTGTCGTCTACAGGTCGCATTTCTTAACGTATCACCTTGACACTTTGCATACCAATTCCTTCGATCCTAAGGAACAGCCCTATTGTTTGTGGTGAATGCCCAATCCCCAGGGGCAGAGCCACGCTCATTTTCTTTTTGTGTGTGTCTGTGTGTCACTTACAGCCCGCAATGCTTAATTGATCGTCTTAAAGACTGTTTTATACTTATTCCTTATACCCTAAGGCTGACCTCTATTATTTTTGGTGCATGCCCGATCCCCTGGCACAGAGCAACGCCCAATGTTTTTTGTGTCTTGTGTTTTGCCTACAGGTCGCAATTCTTAACATATCATTTTGAAACTTTGCATACCTATTCCTTATATACTAAGGATGACCCCTATCGTTTTTGGCGATTGCCCAGCCCCCAGGGGCAGAGACACACCCATTTTTTTCTTTGTGTCTCTGTGTGTTGCCTTCTTAATGGATCGTCTTTGAACTTGGGATATGTATTCCTTATAGCCTAAGAACGGTAACTGCATGTCCCGACCCCCAGGGCCAGAGCCACGCCCAATATTTGTGTTTATAGTTTACAGGCCGGAATTCTGAATGGATCAACTTGGTACTTGGCATATGTATTCTTTATAGCCTAAGGGCGTTAACTATTGATATTGATTTTGGTGGAGGTCCCGACCTCCAGGGGCAGAGCCACGCCCAATTTTTGCCATTAGCGCCCAAAAGGCCACAATTCTGAATGGATTAGCTTGGAACTTGGTATACTCATTCCTTATACCCTAAGGACGGCAACTATTAATGTTGGCGCATGCCACTTCCTACACCCCAACAACCCCTGCCCTTTCGGTGGTGCCACATCCACCTTGTTGTTGATATTTTGTCTGTAAATGATATACAGGTTGCAATTATTAACAGATTTGGATCCACTTCGAAAAAATCCAGCATAGGGTTGTACCTTTATATATTGGTCCATGTTTAACCCCCAGGGGCAGAGCCACGCCCAATTTTTGTATTTTTTGTCTACAGGCTGGAATTCTAAATGGATCATCTTGGAACTTGGCATATTTATTCCTTATACTGCAAGGATAGCAACTATTTATTTTGGTGCATGTCCCGACCCCCTGGATCGAATGAGCGCAATGTTAATGCAATTATAAGTTTGGTAGAACAGGTCATGCGTTCTAATGGAGGTAAATACTACACGGAAGCATATTGGAGTATGAAATAAGAGATCAGATTCCAAAGAACTGGAAGTAGGATTGGACAAACGACTAAGAAGAATGATAAAAGAAATATTTGCCAGAATATAGCTTACATTTATTTTGAGTTCCAGTGTCGAATAAATTTGGTTCATGTAGCCCTCCCGTTGTTATGAACTGTCGACCTAAAGAGAATAACAAATTGAAATTTATGTTTTTAAACTTTAATCAGATTCAATAATGGCAGCCGAGAAGCACATGTACTCACTTGACCAAAAACAACAGTAATAATCATAATAATCCCTAACACAGCACGGGCAACATAACAATAGGATATTACATGTATAATAAAAAGGTTACATGGCTAAGACTAAAATACAAAGTCCTTAGACTGTTTTGCGCAATGGATATTTGTCTCATCAGATGTCAATACTCCTTAGTGTTCTACCTAGGTCTACATGTAGGCTACACAAGGCAAAGATATACCGCACAAATGGAATATGGCTCGAGGTTATATGGGCAATGTTATACAAGCAATTTACAAAGTCTGACAGTGGTGAATTCAACATGCAATACCAATGACAGGTTATAAAGATTTTCCAAATTAATTGAATGAGTGAATGAATAAAACAATACAATATCATTACAGTCATAACTCATGTGTACAAGGAATCAAAGAGTTTCACAAATGTAAACATACTTAAAGGAAGTTTTATGCATGTTAACAACAATATGAAATAGAAATTACGCCATACAGTGTGCTATGAGAGAAATTTTGCCCGGACAGCGGCACTGCGGCCTACTCTTATATCGAATTCGAACTGTCAAGGGATCTTTTAGGTACACGCCAATGTGTACGCGGGACCTCGGTGTTTCGTGCGATCCGAACTAGAGAGCTGTCCTTGTTAGGCCCTCCGTCCTGTACCACTGACAAGGGAAAGCCGCGCCGGAAAATCCCGATGAACTTTGTCAGCCAACGCCTTGAGCGAACCCGCGACCTCCAGACAAGCGAGCCAGCGTCTTAATCACCTGGGCGACCTTCGGATGTAGACTATGGTTGCAACTAAAGTCTGAACTATTCCGACCGTGCTCTATCTTATGGTATGACTGGTCACGACCACAGGTTGAACTACAGTAAGAAAATCCGTGCAACCGAAGGTCGCCTTAGCCATTGTGGCTCCCATGTGTCGAGGAAACCTAATGGAGATATGTGTTGAATATATAGTGTACAGGGCAATACTGACTATTTGTATCTGTGATCTAACACAATCATAACGTGTACAGTAAAATCTGTTGTTATTGTCTATTAGTATTGGTAGCGTGTAAAAATAAATAATGCGTGCAGTATATAACGCTTAAACATGCATTATGCAAGAGCTAAATATGCCTATTGCAGGTCTTTCTTTAGGCCTGAAATGTTTTCCAAAGTATTAATTAGACATTAATTAGCTGATCCAGGACTTAATCAACTCTCGATGGCATCAGATTTCTCCGATATTAAATAAATTAGAATGGTTCAGCGATACTTTGTTTTAATCAAATACGGAGGACCGAGACTTAGCTTCGATCAACCAGTACGGTGGTTGAAATTATTGCACACGTCTGTCAAACCTTCAAAGGCTAATATCTTCGCTTGCAATAGAGTAATTTGAATGAAATTTTCAATTTATTCATTTTACATCATCTACTTTCGAACTATCATAGCAAAAATGGCTAGTTCTTTATCTAAATCTTACATAATGTATCTTTAATATAGTTTCTCCGGCCATCGCCTTATTCCTAGAAATATGAGGATTGTATTTATAGGCGGAGCTAAATAATGCAAGTTCAAGGTTATAAATATGTAATACTAGGTATTTGTAGGCGGGGCTAAACCATGCAGGTTCATGGAGATTAATAAGCGTATTTAATGGGCGGTATTTATAGGCGGAGCTAAACAATGCAGGATCATTGTGATTAATAGGCGTTTTAAATTGTAGGAGGGGCATATGTGAATCTAGTATAAATATGTACGAAATCGTGAAATGAATACATTCGTTCTCTGACCATTGGTGATTAAGACGACAGACTATTACCGGTAAGTGTCTTTACTTATTTTGAAAGTTGTCACAGGGGATTAAAGGGAAGCGTGTAAACAATTACATTTTGTGTAACCATTTCACTTTATTAATAGGCGTTCACAACAAACTATATACAATGTATAAAATGTAAAAAGTAGATGTGCTTTATATCTTTCTACATTATCTCATTCCCCCGTTTCTATAGTCCCAATATCTATAAACTACGCTGAGAAAATTCTTAAAGCTAAACGATGATAAAACAAAATCGAAGTTGGCAGCAGCTAGCAACTACTAAGATTTAACACAGCAAACCATCAAATTGGCAACATCTCTATTAAACCAAGTGACACAATTCTTGGTGTTTATTTCGACTCTACTCAGGACAAAGGGAGGGTCACGGTGGCTGAGTGGGTAAGACGCTGGCTCGCTAGCCTGGAGGTCGAGTGTTCGATCCCTGGATTGGCCAAGAAAGTTCACCCAGATTTTCCGGCGTGGTTCCCCCTTGTCAGTGATGCAGAACGGAGGGCCTGACAAGGACAGCTGTCTAGTCATTCGGATGAGACGAAAAACCAAGGTCCCGTGTACACATTGGCGTGCACGTAAAAGATCCCTTGACAGTTCGAATTCGATATAAGAGTAGGCCGCAGTGCCGCTGTCCGGGCAAAATTTCTCTCATAGCACACTGTATGGCGTATGCCCGTCTTCATTAGCCCAGTTCGTTTTGTATATTACATAATTTGCTCTTTATGACGATTCTGCACTTCAGTACCTTAGAGAGACCGTCTCAATATTAATAAACCTACCAAAACCCCTCGATCACAATCGGGCAACCTCTTAATTAAGTCTTTTTCCAAAACTAACTCCGGTGATAGATCATTCGCAGCCGGTGGTCAAAATGTATGGAATTCGATATGGAAGGAAAGCAAAGGTTCAAATTTTATTCAAGCTTTTAAAATGTATCCCAAAAGGAACTTTTTAATCAAATATACAACTGAATGAATACAGTTCTAGCTGTGTGTATCAGACTTTTAGCACCTGTACTCATTTCCTCTGTGTTTTTAACGATTATGTCCTTTTGTGATTTAATGTTTTATGATTGCTGTAATTTTATTTTTAGTTGTCCTTATGTAAAGTGGCCGAGAGAGAGTTAAATTGTCCGCGCTAAATTATTTATTATTATAATTATTATTATTATTAATTGATAAATTATAATTATTATTATTATTAATTGATAAAATTATAATTATAATTAATTGATAAAATTATAATTATTATTATTATTAATTGATAAAATTATAATTATTAAATTTTATTAATTGATAAAATTATAATTATTATTAATATATACAATTATAAGTATTATTATTATTAATATATAAAATTATAATTATTATTAATTGATAAAATTATAATTATTATTAATTGATAAAATTATAATTATTATTAATATATACAATTATAATTATTATTAATTAATAAAATTATAATTATTATTATTAATTGATAAAATTATAATTATTATTATTATTAATATATAAAATTATAATTACTATTAATTGTAAAAATTATAATTATTATTAATATATAAAATTATAATTATTATTAATTAATAAAATTATAATTATTATTATTAATTGATAAAATTATAATTATTATTATTATTAATTGATAAAATTATAATTATTAATTGATAAAAATAGGAAGGTGATATAAATGTTCATTATGCCATTTTGTACGATGATTTTATAACATTGTCGATTTAGAACCGGAAAAGTCTATGCCTAGATTCTATGCGAATGGAAAAGGAAGATACAAATTATTACGTTCACTCATTTCTTTGCAAAACTAATTTACATCTGTACAAACTGAAGATCGAAGGGTTTGGTACATTTTTCTTTAATTCGACTCCGTCAATACTGATACCCCGACTACGAAGTCTAACCTACTATACCCATTCAATAACTATTATTTCTCGAATTTAGAAATCATTGCGCATTTTTATACGCCCACATTTTCATGTGGACGTATATTGTCGTCGCCCCTGTCCGTCCGCCCGTCCAAAATTGTTTGTGAACAGTCTACAGGTCACAATTTTTATCCGATTTCAATGAAACTTGAAATATAGGTTTATCACCCCAAGATCTCGGTCCATCTATCGGACCGTAACTTCATGGATTATGGCCCCTGATTGCACGAAAAATCACGTTTTTGGCTTGTGAACACTGTAGAGGTCACAATTTTTATCCGATTTTGTTGAAACTTGACATGTAAGTTTATAACACACAGATCTCGGTTCCTTTCGATATTCGCGCATATCGGACCGTAACTTCATGAATTGTGGCCCCTGATTGTACGCAAAAACGCGTTTTTGGGCTTGTGGACATTATATAGGTCATAATTTTTCTCCGATTTAAAAAACCGTGTTAATATATTACCATTACACCCTAAGGACGGCTAAGTTCGAATTTCGTGAAAATCGGCCCAAAACTGACAGACAAAATGGCCGCCCTTCGTTCTCAAATAGCGTAAAAATATGGTATATTAAGGTTGTGGACCCAATAGAGGTCACAATTTTTATCCGATTTTGTTGCAACTTGCAATGTAAGTTTATAACCCAAAGATCTCGGTTCCTTCCGATATTCGCGCATATCGGACCGTAACTTCCTGAATTATAGCCCCTGATTGTACGAAAAATCACGTTTTTAGCTTGTGGACCCTATAGAGGTCATAATTTTTTATCCGATTTAAAAAAACGTATTATTATATCACCGTTACACCCAAGGACGACTGAGTTCGAATTTCGTGAAAATTGGCCCAAAACTGACTGACAAAATGGCCGCCCCTTGTTCTCAAATACCGTAAAAATATGGTATATCAAGGTTGTGGACCCTATAGAGGTCACAATTTTTTATCCGATTTTGTTGAAACTTGAAATGTAAGTTTATAACTCAAAGATCTTGGTTCCTTTCGATATTTGCGCATATCGAATTGTAATTTCCTGAATTATGGCCCTTGATTGTAGGAAAAATCACTTTCGTTTAGCTGGTTTTCTATCCATCTCTCGAAAATGTGGGCGTATACTGCCTGGCAGCCGCTGGTCTTTTTTTAAAACAATTCTATTGGCTTAATAACATATCAAATCAATTTACAAAAATACATGCGTAGACATATGTATAGTACAATGGAATCAATAGATAGGTTTACATAAGGTGTTTTTGTGAGTCGATTAGATTAGGTTTTGATTTGCTAGTACGATTTGGTATGATTTCGATTTGATTAGCTATGGTCCACAAATGTGAAATTTGATAATTACGATTTAGTAAGACGACTGCCATCACGGACACCGATCAGAAAAACAAATATCTCTGCTAACATGACGAGGGGGCGTGTGTTTCAAGTGTAGTCCAAGTTACCTACAGAGTACAGTGACACTGCTGGCACCCAGAGGCCTAAAATTGCTTAGAGCCAGAGGTGATCTAACATTCTTGTGGACTATAAAGTTAACATTAAACACATCAAATGCGTTTTAAAAAAAACATTTTTTATAGAGAAAAACAACAATAAGCATTAAAAATTACTTACGATGTCGAACATTCCGCCATTTTGAAAACGTTAAATCTAATCGCCTAAACACCTCCTGGGACGATTAGGTCGATTTGCCTAATCAGTTGAGTTAAATCGTCTCACAAATGTAACGATTAGCATAATCAACTTGGTTCACAAATGCGTATAATAGCTAATCGGTCTAATCTAATCGGTTCACAAAAACGCCTATAGTATAGTATACGCTGTACCAGAGTGATGATACATCATACTGCCATTTTAAACTCAAATAAGGGTTTGCAGATAGTTCAAGTTCAATCTTGTTTCTTATTAGACCGGAGGCTCAGCGCGGGGGTGGGGGAGTGTCCATCAAATGGGCACAAAACCAAACCAAACTATTCTAGAGTGAAATTTTGCGTAGAATACGATGCGGAGTCGTAATCAGTCCGCCGTTGGGGCGTTTTCGAGATATTCGGGGTCAAAGGTCAAGTGGGTTCATTCGCACTGAAAGTGAATGCGTGGTCATTCTTGTATCATGAAAATAAGATGAAAATGATCGAAAGTAATCACACTTTCAATAAAAATGTAAACTGGCTACATTCACCTTTGGTCTTAGTGATCCTGGAGGTCAAAAGGTGAAATTTACCGTTTTTGCACTAGGAAGATTTAAAGCAATAAAATGTCAACGTAAAATATAAAAACTAAAGCGAAACATGTTCTAATTAATAATAGGAACATTGAAAATTAATCTTTAGGTGGTCTTAGCACCGAACTTTTACTTTGGAACGTCGAAAATGATCTTGCATAACAGAACCAAAACACTTTGAAACCTGTTACAAAAATATGTAAAAACTGTCAAATCGAAAGCTCCCCGATTTATTTTCACAACGATTGTTATACATAATGATACTAGTTATCTGAAAAACAATTGAATAGTTTCAGTGTTGGACTCCCGTCTGCAGGCCGGTTGGATTTCCGAGAATCCCAGTCTAGGAAAACCGACGTTAATCTGTTTTATGTGTTTTTTATGAATTTCGCCCGAACGTTGACGCAGATAAAACCGACGAATGCATTGTACATAGTAGTTAACAGGATGTATATGTCGTATTGGTGAATGTTAGCGGGGAAAATTTGGGCAGGATTTGTGACGCGGCCTGCAGGCTGGAGTCCATCCATGGAACTGTTCAATTGGTTTTTTTTTTCAGACAACTAGTATCATTATGTATAGCATTCGTTGTAAAACTAATTCGGAGAGATTTTAATTCAACAGTTTTTGAAACAGGCTCCGAAGCGTTTTGGTTCTGTTATGCAAGATCATTTTCGACGTTCCAAAGTAAAAGTTCGGTGCTAAGACCACCTAAAGATAAATTTTAAATGTTCCTATTATTAATTAGAACATGTTTCGCTTTAGTTTTTATATTTTACGCCGACATTTGTTACTTTAAATCTTCCTAGTGCTAAAACGGAAAATGTG